TTGTTTAGGCCTTAGATAAACTGTTTGGAGGTGAGGTATGTCAGTACCCCACCGAAACTGGTCTTCAGCCTGCAGCCTGCGGTATTCCCTATCAAAAAACCAGACTGATGACTGCTCATAACAGTTCAACAGCTGATAAATGCGGGTGGTGTATGACAGGTAATCAAACATCCTTTCCCTAGGAAGTGCCTGATCCTGAATTAGCTTATATAAGATGGCCAAGTTTGCAACTGACCACTGAGGAACCGTGACAGATTCTAATTTAGGCTTTGATGGACCTGCTTTATAAACTAATTGCCCCCCTTCAACGCCCTCTGCTGACCCCAGAACTTCCTCAGATATTTGGCCACCCCGTACATTGACAAAATCAACAATATCCAGATAGGCTGCACCCTTACCTGTAGTAGCTGCTGCCCGGAGATACACTTGTGGGTCCCTCCATGATGCCGATTCACATACAGGACGAGTATTTGTGGCTTCCTGCACTTTTGCCTGCTGATTGTTCATTTGGCCCAGCAGATTGGCCACACTGTCCATGTAGTCCTCTGTTGGCCCACGAACTGTTGATGGTGTGCTTGAATGCCTTATCCCTTCTGATGACTGCTGATGTTTTGTGGAATCTGTGCATTCAATTCCTGATGGTGGCTTGTTATGGGTAAGGGGACCCATATGTCCCTCTTCTGATTTTTGATTGGCCCCCACTGAAGCCTGGCAAGGGGTTTTTTTGTGTTTAGGTCCATTATGCTGTGCATATGAACCATTCGGAAATGTCTGAGCCAATGCTTTCAGCAGAAGCTTTTGCTGACCAACCGGTATATTTGAATTAACCAGGTCTTTTGGCTCCAACAATGCCAAAGCTTCCATACACTGGAAACCAAGCTTCAGTAATATTTCTGATGTTCTGGCAGACAGGCGTTTAAATGCTGCCCATTTTTTTACTTTGCCTTCTTCCAGGTCTTCTTGGCTGACAGCTTCCTCAATGATTTCATCATCCGAATCTAAATCCGACATAGTGAGTGGATTTCTTTTTCTGGTGTTTATCATTCAGGGTTCTAAAGCCCTGTCAGTGCTGGAGGTGGGACCTGGTCACTCCACAGTGCTCTGGAGACTGTGGCTGGGCAGGTCAGTGCAGCAGTGTAACCTACAAACCTCCTTGGTTGTCATTGGCTAAACCTGTCAAGGTGAGGAGGTTAATGGCTGACCATACAAATCCCCCTTATAGGCACAATGTTTCTCAATGGTCCCATTGCCCCAAACTTGACATGCCAAATGTTAGCCCTGACCCCTGGATAACCGACTTGATAAAAGTTGGGGCCATCTGACAAGAATGACACTCCATCCCACCTCATTAATATTGTATTAATTACTTAATACCTACATCTATCTAACCATACCAATATCTGTATATATATTTCTATATCTATCCAACCTTACCAATATCTGTATATATATTTCTATGTTTATCTAACTATACCTATATCTGTATATATATTTCTATATCTATTTAACCTTACCAATATCTGTATATATATTTCTATTTCTATCCAACCTTACCAATATCTGTATATATATTTCTATATCTATCCAACCTTACCAATATCTGTATATATGTTTCTATATCTATCCAACCTTACCAATATCTGTATATATATTTCTATGTCTATCTAACTATACCTATATCTGTATATATATTTCTATATCTATCCAACCTTACCAATATCTGTATATATATTTCTATATCTATCCAACCTTACCAATATCTGTATATATATTTCTATATCTATCCAACCTTACCAATATCTGTATATATATTTCTATATCTATCCAACTATACCAATATCTGTATATATATTTCTATATCTATCCAACTATACCAATATCTGTATATATATTTCTATATCTATCCTACCTTACCAATATCTGTATATATATTTCTATATCTATCCAACCTTACCAATATCTGTATATATATTTCTATATCTATCTAACCATACCAATATCTGTATACATATTTCTAGTTCTATCAAAACTTACCAATATCTGTGTGTATATATATATATATACTATCAACAGGTACAACAATAATTAAGTCACAACAAAGGATTTCAGACTGACTCATCAATCCATAAAAAGTATTGAATGAATTAATAGCAGTAAGCAATCATTATAAGTCATTTCTAACATTACCTATGCCTTTTCAGCATTGATAAGAAATATTGTACCATGTGAAGACTTATTATTCCCTGGAGTTGACAATTATCTTATTCAGTTCATGCCCTATTGAAGTATTGAGATTTTCTGTATAGGTAAGTAAATGTTTAGCATTATCTACCTAAAATGAAATATAACTATGTTATGGTCATGAACAAAACCTAATTTCAAAACAAAATCTGTTCATTGTAACATTGGTATATTTTTAAAATATAAAGTACAAAGCTTTATGTTTAATGAAACATGCAATTTTATATACTGCTGAAATGCAGTTTCTTGAGGTTCATAGGCAATCATATAAACTCATTGTAGGTTGTGGGAACAGAAAAATTCCACACCATGTAAGTTTGCAGAATTTGGTCAGAAATTATACTTTTATTCTAATACTGGGTCTTTTTGTCATTTTTTGCAGACTTTTTCTTCTAATATCAGAGTCAAATTGTAGTCTTTTATACATAGAATTTACCTTTCCTTTGTAGATATCAAATATGCAAATGTAATCTACATGTTGGGTTCAGATGTACATCCTAATTCTACAACAAAATCCCAGGTTTGATTAGAATATTATATTATATTAACGAGAAACCAAGCTAAATGCAAAATTTAAGTTCAGCTTTTCAGCATCCATAATTTTCAGCTTTCCTGGACAGTAAAATCTTTTATTTTGTATGTGGTGGACATGCTGATGTGTTCACTTTGGATCTAACTAAATACCAAGTTTGGTTAAATTAGAACTCATACTTTTTGAGTGATGGACCTTAAATGTAAAACTTTAAAGTGAAATGTTGATGATGCCATACTGCTGGCAAAGTTTGAAACAATGCTCATGGTTTTTTGATAAGTTGTAAACAAAACCACAAGATATACTTGGCAACTAGGTATGATGAAGTCTATGTATACATAGATATACATACATAGTAATATGCATACACACAATAATCTCTACAGGTACGCTCCCATGCACAATTTAGATCCTAGCAGCTAGTACAGTGACACAAACATCATCTTGTAACCAGAATCCCATAATATGTATTGACATTGTTTAAAAATGCATGACAGTAAAATCATAATTTTTTCATTGATTGTACATGTTTTTATACTTTCAGTTATGTTTCTATGCTATCCTGATATTCAGTCAATTTCCAATGTCAAGCTTGTCCACTTCTTGGTTCAAGAAACCTCTCTCAAATTTAGTGCTGATAACATCACGCTATAGTCTTGAAAACGAAGCAATATATGAACATATGACAGCGACAGTAGTTGCACTCAGTAAAACCACGTTTTTCGGCACCACATTTTGTAATTGGCATGACAAATGTGATTTGATATCTCAATGTCATTTCAGAATTATGAAAAAGTAACATAAATTGCCAACTGATTCAGGCGGACAGTAGTGTTTTGTTCACATGCACTATCATAATGATGCAAAAATTTACATATCCAGACTATTGATCAACAGATAAGAATTTCCTTTTTATAATTATTAAATAATCTATTTATTTGCATATTCATCAAAAACAAAACATCATTGTTCATAAGGTGATACACCTGATATATATATATATACAATGCTAAAAAATGATAAAAGAAAATCAGTCAGAAAAATGTTTCACAATGATGTCGCTTTAATATGTACGTTGGTAATTTATCTTTCTACCAACCAAAAAGTCCAAAATATCCACCAACATAAGGTGATACACGTGATATATATATGCAATGATGAAAAAAAAATCAGTTAAAAAAATTATTTCACAATGATGTCACTTTAATATATACACTGATAATTTTTCTTTCTACCAACCATAAAGTCCAAAATATCCACACAGAAAAAAAAATTAACTGAAAGCCCTATTTAATAGCATTAGTATTACTGTAAGTTCATGTACAACAGCTGTGTTTACAAAATAATACTGCTGTTTTGTTTGATTGACAAGCCTTTCAGAAAAATTTTTCTAGAAATTTTAAGAATTGACCAAAAGAAGTTTCATCCAAAACATATGAAAAAATACTACACAGAAAATTCATGTTTATCAAGGTATTAGCATATACCTTAGCAATAAGTCTAGGTCCTGAATTGTTGGACAGTTATGTAGAAATGAAAACAAATGCTATCAAGATGGGTTTTTTTATAAGCCATTCCCTCAGTTCCAGCCATGGTTATGTGTTGACCATGTGATTTCGTAAGAGAAGTACAGACAATTAGTTTCAGAATTTGACCCAATTGTCAATTTAAATAATTGACTGACATTAAAAAATCAGCATTCTACTATCATTTTTAACGCAAGAGACAATTCTACAAAACCACCTTAACAATGTCCTACTGCTAATCATTTAATATGTACACTGAGACATGAATATCAATTAAGGTAAGATATATAAGGATCTTCTGTATCAACATGTGGGTAAGGTAAGGGTACTAGTTAACATAGCAAGGACAGTGACTGTACACAATAGGGTTGCAAGATTGGTTAATATTCCTAACACTAAGTAAAAGATGCATTGTGGCAAGATGACAGTGTTTATGATATTAACCACTCAGGTCTTTTTTGAAACTTCACATGTATGTTAATTTAGGACCAGTTCAAAAGTGTTCTAAATTCTTATGAACCTTCAAAACAAAAAAGTGCCTAAAAGGTACAGATTTTGGCTCAAGCTGAACCAAAAATAAACATTGTGGTCTCTTCCATCCTGAAGGCACAATAAGCAGATAAGGCAAGTAATGTATTTTGAAATGATACATTATTGTAGTCATTGGATATTAAACAAGCATGAAAAAAATAATAGTTTACCTTTCTTTTATGTATTCGGTAAGCTTTTTCATCTTCATACTTCTGAAGAAGTTTATTACAAGCGTTAAATCCCGGCATAGTAAAATTAGTGTGTCTTCGATGTTTGGTCACAAAAAAGTTTATTTCTTCTCCAACACAAGTCCTCAACTGTGAACATAATCTGTGGTAATATAAAACAATTTACAAGTTACAACATAAATATATAGGATCTTAAATGAGTTTTCATCTCACACAAAATATCATGCAACAATTCTTCTCATTTTATATTTTTGCGAGCTTTAATTGGCAGGCAGAAGTTTAAATATATCAAGACAAGTTTCATAAAATCTCATATGCAATGAAAACTAGTTTCATACACTGTTTTCTCACATTACTCAGAAAAGTTACATTTTGACAGGGTTCAAAGTTAAGACATGGAGAACTAAATAAAACAGAGGAAGCCAGTTTGTTGTACCATTTTATTTCATGATATACTATCCATTATTGTCAGAATTATGACTTCACTATCGTTTTCTTGCACAACAGCCTTTAATATAGATATTAATGTTTATGAATTACCCAGGTATGTTAGATCCTCAAAATCGAAAATAGCAGACATACTTCATAAGTGTAATGTCTTTAAAGTGTAATGCTTCATTTTCATCTACATTGTTTTAAAAATAAATTTGCAGCTTTAAATTCACAGCAAAAGCCCCTGTTTTTGATATCTGATAATTCATGTCATCAGGATAACTCATTGCTTTATGCATGTCAAAGTGTTGAGCAAATCACTTGAAATAATGTACACTTTGTAAACACAATTAAGAGTGTGTATAATAGTTTTTTATGGTCGAAATTAATTCTAAAATCCTTCTTTAGTGAAAAACTCATTTGAATTAAGATATGTCTAGATTCAAGGAAACTGGTTAGAACAGGGATGGTTACACATATATTTACGTTCATGTACTATTAATTACAAAATGTTACATATCTCAGTCACAACTCCTGCTTTCAAGTAAATTGGCATCTGTAATGTTCCAATGTTTACATAAGATACTGTGTCCAGTACCCAAAGTAAGAAAACACAGATACGGTTATAGAATATTACCACTCTCTGCCAATTATTTGTTGATCCATTCACGTTTTTGGTCTGAGGACCTCTCAGGTGTACTTACCTAGCTGAAGACAGGACAGCTCTGTCATTACCAAGAAGTCATGTTATAATTTGATATCCAATTCTCTAGTGTCTAATAATCCATCAATAAAACGAAACTCAAGGACAATATCAATAACCGCCTGATAAGCATCAGTAGCTATTCCATACGTAATCCAATAAAACGGTGCTGTTCCTATCAGCTTACCACACAGTGTACTCTACACAGGTAGAGGCACTACTGTAAAGCTAGTCATCGACCCCGGGGTCGATGCCATAGCGACGTCATCAAACAAAACACATGTTTATCACACTGGCGCGAAATTTCAAAAGATTTCATAGTTATCTAGTGTTTTTAACGGAAGACCTCGTCACGTATTTCTTAGTTATTAATACCAACATCTAGACATACGCAGCTCTAAATAAGTCAAGAGCCGTGATTGAAATATAAGTACAGCTAACCTGCTGTATCATGTAAGCTATCAGGGACTTCACATAACTTTTGCAGATGCCGAAGTAACTTTGTTAGTCCGTTTTATTTCTAATTGACGTTCATCTCTTGATAACGTATTTAATTAAAGGATTTTTATTTTTATACTCCTTTAAATTTACTGGAATCTGTTAGAGAGTATGTCACAACAAATCTACTTCTAAACGGTAGCGTCTGCTTCATAGTGGAACTCTTCAGTTTGAAGGTGTGAAAATATTTATATCCGGTTTGAAATCTGTTTAAAAAGTTTGCAACGATGAAACTGAAAGCAGTTATATATAAAACCACAAAACTGCAGCAGGATGGGTAAAGATGTATTTATTAACATATGTACACTCTTCTATTACTTCTTATGGCGACGTTTTGACTTTACGATATTCTAAACAGCTAAATCTTCGATCTCTCCCGGATGGATGAATTTGCATTTTGGCATCTTTTCTCATACTGTAGTCATTCACGTTTGGCTTATTTCACAATAACCATTGAACTGGAACTTAACACTAACTTCAGAAATACGTGACTTAAGTGGACCATTTACATGTAGGAGATACAAAGGCGACTCCTATTTTAAGGCAAGTGTTATTGGTACAACTAACAAGCCATTTTTTTCACTAGGTGCATCCTTTCCTATCAAAGTCTTTTTCCAGTATGCAAAATTAACACAACCCTCAATTTGAAAACAAGGATAATCAAAATATCTTATGGCATTGCTTAGTTTTTGACATCTCTGGTGATGTGACAAAAAAAAATCCTTGATGCAGTACCTGGATTACGGAACACCTACAGTAAGATTCACTAACATCATATATGATATGTTGATAAATGAGATTTATATTTAATATCTGCCATTTTTTCAAAATTCTCATGTGTGAATGACATTTTTGACTTGCCATGATACCTTGCGCATCACAACATTTGTCACAAAGGAAAAATTAATTAATGTAATTTAATTAATACATCTAGATCACTTTCAATTTATAAAGTGCACACTTTACTGAAATATTTGTTTGATCTGATTTTTTATTCATGATGCCAGGACTCAGGGGTGGGCCCTGGTGAATGTTTGGTTAAGATGAGGATAGTTAAGTAGTTATTATCATGTTTATGCTACCTACTTAGTCAAATAACAAAGTCAACAAGAAAAATGGTCTTTATAATGTAACAATGTGGAAGCATTCCTCAATCAATACCAATAACTTAACCACACCAGTCCTTAAAAAACAACTAAGTTGACGTCATGAGTGAAAAAACAGATCAAACAAATATATCACTCACTGAAAAGTTGACTAAAAATGTTATTTCTAAATATATATAGTTCACAGTTAATACAAAATTTCAAATATCTTGAACCATTAATATCTAGATTAAAAATTTTTGAATTTTATGAAAGAATTTATTTGATTTATCTTTTTTTGCCTCTTTCTATTTTAATAACATGACAGCATAAAATTTCATGAGATGATTGATATTATTTTTTCAAATTTCCATTAAACAAATAGCGTCTTCATTTCGGGAGGGATTATGATCAAACTTTACACGCTTATAAAACCTTGTACATTAAAACTGATTGGTTGTACATCACTCGCTTTGTAAAAGGTAACCAGTTCAGCTTCTTATACATGTCACTGGAGGGAGTATTGAAATCACACTTCAAGATAATCCTAGCGGCTCTTTTCTGGAGTTTTTCTAGCTTGGCTATATTATTATGTGAAGTATTGCCCCAGATATTTACACAATAGTTAAAGTGTGGATTTACAAAACAGTTAAAGTATGTTAAACAGGAAGACTGGCTAAGGAACACTCTCAAAGGTTTCATTTGAAAAATGTAAAAAGACAGTTTTTTGTACATATTGTTAACTTGGGTATTCCAAGACAAACAATCATCTACAGTGACACTGAGAAGTTTTTCTGTTTTTACATTTTCAATCATCAGTGTCATTGATTACAATATTTAATTGCCGACTTTGTCTGCTCTTACGTTGGTAAGTGCCAATCAACATGGATTTTGTTTTCTCAATATTGATACACATTTTGTTAGATCTACACCATTCAGAAATGAGACTTGTGTCAGCATTTAGTTTGTCACTAAAATAAAAATGTAAAATATTTGTAATGCTTGTTGGATTTAATAATTGTTATTGTAGTAATAAAGAAATGTAGCTATGGGTGGTCGGATGGCGCAGTGGTAACGCACTCGCCTTTCACCTAGCCGACCGGGGTTCGATTCCCGGAATGGATGTGAAAAGGTAAGGGGTCACCTGCCCGACCAGGTGGGTTTTCCCCGGGTACTCTGGTTGCCTCCCACAATAAGACCCCTCGCGTGCTTACATCCGGGCCAACAATTAGTATAAGTTGACATAACTTGTTTCACAATTGTTGTAAAATAAATAAAGTTTATTATTATTAATAAAGAAATTTTATTTCTTTTTACAGATTTGATTTTACATCTCTTATCATCAGCCTTTAAACAATTTGTCTAATCAGAGGAAAGAAAAAACACGCAGCACTCAAAAAATGGATTATTCTCAGAAGAATCCATCGTATGTAAGTACACGACATGTACACTGTCTAATAATGTCAATATTTAATACATTACACATATTTTCTTTTAAGTACATGTAGTTCTGAATGGACGTTGTATAATGGTATAAATTCAGTACTTCTTTTTAAGATACACTTGTATAACTTGTTTATCTGTTTTCATCCAACTGTGATACCAGACAACTAGATATGTTTTTGGTTTGATATAGTTATATCCTTTTGTGCCTGTTTTGTACCAGATGATATTGTCATTTCTTTATTGCAATTGACATTCCTATTTTTCATTCAAGATTAATTTGGTTATGTCTATCATTAATTCAGAACCCATCGTACAATCCATCGCGGTTGCAGAGGTTACGGAGACCAGGAAAGTTAATCACAGCAACCGGTATAGTTTTAGGGTTTGGAATCATTCTTACGATTTTGAACATCTATGAGCTGCACAAGATAAAGGAGGACCATATGTTACACATTCAGCCTGCTACTGAGGCCAAAACAGGAACATTTGGATCCAAACAACCTGTTGTTTGGGTGGATGGCAAACATGTAATTATGACATTGATAAACCAATATTCATTTCATTTTGTTTTATTGTATGTTTTACTGTGAACCCAGAGATCTCTAGGAATTACAAAGCAGTTTTCATGGAAATTTAATTATCAACATGTTTAGTGACATCACTCCAGCAACTTCATTTCTTACCAGATTTTTATCAAACTGTTTACTCAGGTCATGTAGGAGAATACCTCTCATGAGGTTGTATTTCAGAATGATAGGGTCAAGGTCAATGTACAACTTTGAGAAAATTGTCATCAACTATTTCTAAGGGAATTAGATAGAGCTTAATATGCACACTTGTCACAATCTGTGACTTGCAGGTGAAAACTAAGCATGGCATAAAACTATTGTAATCACTTGTTTGTTGTGAACATCTAATGAAGTATCTGAATCTTTCTGTTACCAGCTTGGGACGGGCTACTTGAAGCATGTGTTTGCCGTATTTGACAGAATTGGGTATGCTGTTGGTGACAGTGAGTCTAAGTGGGATGTCCTCTGGTCACATGAATATCCATTTGAAACATTGTCCAAGAAGTTGGCAGATCTTAAACCTCACCAAAGGGTAATTAAGCCATCAGCTGTGATCTTCCAAAACATACTAATGATATGTTAACATATCTCCTTCAGTGAAGTGTTGCTCCTTCAGTGAAGTGTGTCTAAGTTTTAGTGTAGTGTAGTATGTGTATTACTTATCGAGGTAATTAGACAATGTTGTGACTGGGCTTTACAATGATATCTTGTTTTAAGGTTTTTTTTGAAGCACATTTTCACTAAGGCTAAAGTCCCCAACTGTAATATTAGATATGAATTTATTATAATTTTTATCATTCAACAAGGTAAAACATAAATTATCATTGTGACATTATCATTAAAATCACATCATAAAAACAATGTTAACTTAAGTAGTGTCTTATTGCCTTAGCCTGTTGTCAGTATTCGTGCAGTATCCGTCGATATTAACTTATCACAAGAAACAATTGGCAAATTCAAACCAAAAATGGTCATTAGCGTGAAAACATAAAGAGGCAACAAAATTGCAAAATTCATGGTTGTAAGCCCCTTGAGACTAACAGGGTGGGGCCAAACAGTGAATAAACATATTATTTTGTAATTCTGTTCTAAGAGATATAAATAAGTGCTTAATAGAGTTGTAATGTCAAAGAGTAGTTCTAGCCAAATTGAAAATATTTGGTCTCTTGATGTTTTTTTTTCACTTCCAGGAATGGGTTCATTTCTGGGCAGAGCCAAAATAATGAAACAAAAATAAAATTAGAATTTGTTTGAAAAGTGTCAACATTTTGTATACACATATGAATTTGAAAGTTAAAGGAAATGATTAAAGGGTTTTGTTCCCAAATTTCAATGTTACCGGGTCAAAGATTAAATGTTAGTCACTGGTCATCAAATCTGCAAAATTTATGTAGTTAATAGTAAAAACTGACTTTTTTGTGCAGACCAGAACCATCTACTTTTTGTATAGACATACACAGAAGGTGTAGGGGCTGATGCAAACAATTTTTGACCAAGTTTAAATATCACTGTGTCAATAGTCAAAGGCCATCATTGCTTGCAAGGAGTGATTGCTGCTATTTTCCTTCAAAACCACCAACGTATAAAAGTATAGGCCAATGCATTTGTAACATTATTTATACGTCGCACAAAACATTATGTCCTAAACAACAATTTGTGTGCCACTTGCACGTTATTTATGGGCATACTAGTTTTGGTTTTGGACAGAATTTGACTTCAGAGAGAAAAATACCTGTAGGCATTGGGATTGTACTCTGCTTCTTGAACTGTGCTGTCCATCAAGGGATGTTGTGCCTCTTGTAAAAAAATCACACATCACTACATGATTATTCTTAGACATCGGAAATAATTGCCATAGAAAAATAGGATATTTATATAACAAAATGTTAGGAAAACCCTGCTTCTGATATGTTACAGGTGAACCATTTCCCAGGAACAGGCTACATCACGAATAAAGTCAGTCTGGCTACCTCCTCCATCCCCTACATCCCCAAAGCCTTCAAAATACCTTCAGCGAAAGAAGCATTTCTGAATTATGTAAGTACATATATATTCGTTTAGGAATGTATCATACATCCTCAAAACAAATCAATGTCGAAAAAAGGCACCTTTCTGAAATATGCAAGTTGTCTATTTTACTAATGTTTACTGGAAATGTCCAGTACAACTCCAAAATCTTGAAAGTACCATGAGGGGGGGGGCTTATTTGCAGTAAATTACGGTAAGTACATAAGTGTTTCATGTCTCCAAATCTTCAAAAAATTTTATTTTGGATAAAATACATGAAATTTTGTATAGATACCTTGGTACACAAGTTTGATCTCTGTTGGTATAATTACTATTCAGTTTGGAACCTGTTAAAATAGCTGTTAGACAGTACCGTTATGTATTTGTGTATCAGAGGAGAAGTGGCTAATGTTCAACTGTACTATCTAATTATCAAATCTTGTCTTGACATTAGGCAAAGCAACACCCTGAGAAGCTGTGGGTACAGAAACGAAACAGTCATCGTGGAATCAAAATAAAGAAAATCAACGGTAATGTGTTTGTTTTCTATTCCTATTTTTGATAAAGTGTGATAAGATAGATACTGGGTACAAGTGATATTAGGGTTACTGGGTAAAAGTGATATTAGGGTTACTGGGTACAAATGATATTAGTGTTACTGGGTACAAGTGATAGGGTTACTGGGTACAAGTGATATTAGGGTTACTGGGTACAAGTGATATTAGGGTTACTAGGTACAAGTGATATTAGGGTTACTGGGTACACATGATATTAGGGTTACTGGGTACATAAGTATTATTTGATGGTTACTGGGTATATAACTATGATCTGATGGTTACTGGGTATATAATTATGATCTGATGGTTACTGGGTATATAACTCTGATCTGATGGTTACTGGGTATATAACTCTGATCTGATGGTTACTGGGTATATGATTATGATCTGATGGTTACTGGGTATATAATTATGATCTGATGGTTACTGGGTATATAATTATGATCTGATGGTTACTGGGTATATAACTCTGATCTGATGGTTACTGGGTATATAATTATGATCTGATGGTTACTGGGTATATAATTATGATCTGATGGTTACTGGGTATATAATTATGATCTGATGGTTACTGGGTATATAATTATGATCTGATGGTTACTGGGTATATAATTATGATCTGATGGTTACTGGGTATATAATTATGATCTGATGGTTACTGGGTATATAATTATGATCTGATGGTTACTGGGTATATAATTATGATCTGATGGTTACTGGGTATATAATTATGATCTGATGGTTACTGGGTATATAATTATGATCTGATGGTTACTGGGTATATAATTATGATCTGATGGTTACTGGGTATATAATTATGATCTGATATTACTGGGTATATAATTATGATCTGATGGTTACTGGGTACATAATTATGATATGATGGTTACTGGGTATATAATTATGATCTGATGGTTACTGGGTATATAATTATGATCTGATGGTTACTGGGTATATAACTCTGATCTGATGGTTACTGGGTATATAATTGTGATCTGATGGTTACTGGGTATATAATTATGATCTGATGGTTACTGGGTATATAACTATGATCTGATGGTTACTGGGTATATAATTATGATCTGATGGTTACTGGGTATATAACTCTGATCTGATGGTTACTGGGTATATAATTATGATCTGATGGTTACTGGGTATATAATTATGATCTGATGGTTACTGGGTATATAATTATGATCTGATGGTTACTGGGTATATAATTATGATCTGATGGTTACTGGGTATATAACTCTGATCTGATGGTTACTGGGTATATAATTATGATCTGATGGTTACTGGGTATATAAGTATGATCTGATGGTTACTGGGTATATAATATCTGATCTGATGGTTACTGGGTATATAACTCTGATCTGATGGTTACTGGGTATATAATTATGATCTGATGGTTACTGGGTATATAATTATGATCTGATGGTTACTGGGTATATAACTCTGATCTGATGGTTACTGGGTATATAATTATGATCTGATGGTTACTGGGTATATAATTATGATCTGATGGTTACTGGGTATATAACTCTGATCTGATGGTTACTGGGTATATAACTCTGATCTGATGGTTACTGGGTATATAATTATGATCTGATGGTTACTGGGTATATAATTATGATCTGATGGTTACTGGGTATATAACTCTGATCTGATGGTTACTGGGTATATAACTCTGATCTGATGGTTACTGGGTATATAATTATGATCTGATGGTTACTGGGTATATAACTATGATCTGATGGTTACTGGGTATATAATTATGATCTGATGGTTACTGGGTACATAATTATAATCCGATGTTAACTGGGTGTTTTTGATCTGTTTACATGTCAAATATCTCTCCTGCCATTTTTCTCAATTTGTGTTGGCCCATGATTTTGTTTCATTCTCTCTTTTCCATATTGCAGAGTTAGATTTAGCAAGTGATGGATCATTTGTTCAAGAATATATAGATAAGCCCTTCCTTATAGATAAAAGGTAAGACAGTATCTCCATAGTCTGTCTGCTGTATTTGTATGTTACTCTTTCTCCCTAGCTTTGTGATGGATATATCAACTACATCTTGGATAAATCCTCAGATAGTGGGGCTCAGCATTTGATCATACAGCATAATTTGAACATTACGTCATGTTATTTGTATTCATATCACCTAAAGTCAGGTCAGACACTGAAAGCTTTAATTATTTGTTGATTTATTCTGCAAGATTTGAAATTCATATATGAACAATAGAGACCTGATATTATCAAGAATGCACTACATGGTTTTCTTTTCTCTGTAGAAAGTTTGACATAGGTGTGTACACAGTCCTGACATCCATCAACCCTCTCAGAGTTTACATAGTGGAAGGAGAGGTCCTGATCAGGTAGTGACCAATATCAGTGTGGTTATCATTATATCAGAACACAGAGTGTGTTTGTGTATGAAAGAACACAATCAGTATCTCTTCCTTATATGCTAAACTGTAAAATTTCCTCTCTGATTGTTTTCATTCTATACCTGGAAAAACAGATCATTGTCGTTATAAAACTTAACATTTCCATGTTGTCTAAAACCCTGCTGCTCTTGCCTGCTGATAGACTGTTTGATCAGTACAGATAACCTCACTCCTCTGTTGTACTTTATGTTGTACATGATGTCTCCTCTACTGAAGTCTTTGTTTGATAACCTATGAGTACTTAATATCACCTTGTCTTTATAGGTTCTGTGCTAATGATTACCATCCATTTGATCCTACTAATACAAAGAAGTATGTCGTTGATGACAACTATACCCCAGTTTGGGAGGTAGGTAACAAGTGTATGAGAGTTAATTCTGTATTTTCCAGGTTATAAGACACACTTTTTTCCTTGGCAGTCCGACGTGCAATGCATATGTGGACAAAAAAAATCTGTAGATTGGGAAAAAATAGAAAGTGTAATCTGGACATTGGTTCTGGAATGTTATGTATTTCGGAACAGCCATTTTGTCAAGGTATATCACATGCACTATTGACCTGTGTGACCTTGCACACAGATAACTTTGAATGCCGTAACATGTCACACTTCCAGAAAGAACAAAAAATAGAGATTTAAAACAAGGATACCAGTATGAGAAGTCGGTAACAAGTTTTTTATGAGAACCTGTCAATAACATGTTTGTAACTGAAACAGATTGTTTAGAACTGTCATTTACAATCATATACAGGATGAGCCATAGCAGAAGTTTACTATAGCTGGCTTATATGTGGATCAAATTGAAAAACATCGCTAAAAACAGCTATGCAGCTTATACCTGGGTTTTGGTTTATAGCCTGGAAAATACTGTATGTAGCTATATTGTGTGGGAGGTAAGTGACAAATGTACAGGGTTAAATGTGTAGCTGTAGTGTGTTGGAGGTAGGTAACAAGTGTACAGGGTGAAATGTGTAGCTGTAGTGTGTGGGAGGTAGGTAACAAGTGTACCGGGTGTAATGTGTAGCTGTAGTGTATGGGAGGTAGGTAACAAGTGTACAGGGTGAAATGTGTAGCTGTAGTGTGTGGAGGTAGGTAACAAGTGTACAGGGTTCAATGTGTAGCTGTAGTGTATGGGAGGTAGGTAACAAGTATACAGGGTGAAATGTGTAGCTGTAGTGTGTGGGAGGTAGGTAACAAGTGTACAGGGTTCAATGTGTAGCTGTAGTGTATGGGAGGTAGGTAACAAGTATACAGGGTGAAATGTGTAGCTGTAGTGTGTTGAGGTAGGTAACAAGTGTACAGGGTTAAATGTGTAGCTGTAGTGTGTTGAGGTAGGTAACGGGTGTACCGGGTTAAATGTGTAGCTGTATTGTGTTGGAGGTAGGTAACGGGTGTACCGGGTTAAATGTGTAGCTGTAGTGTGTTGGAGGTAGGTAACGGGTGTACCGGGTTAAATGTGTAGCTGTAGTGTGTTGAGGTAGGTAACAAGTGTACAGGGTTAAATGTGTAGCTGTAGTGTGTGTGGAGGTAGGTTACAAGTGTACAGGGTTAAAAGTGTAGCTGTACTGTGTGGGAAAGGTAACAAGTGAGCAGGGTTCAATGTGTAGCTGTAGTGTATGGGAGGTAGGTAACAAGTGTATAGGGTGAAATGTGTAGCTGTAGTGTGTGGGAGGTAGGTAACAAGTGTACAGGGTGAAATGTGTAGCTGTAGTGTGTGGGAGGTAGGTAACAAGTATACTGGGTGTAATGTGTAGCTGTAGTGTATGGGAGGTAGGTAACAAGTGTACAGGGTGAAAAGTGTAGCTGTAGTGTGTGGAGGTAGGTAACAAGTGTACAGGGTAAATTGTGTAGCTGTAGTGTGGGAGGTAGGTAACAAGTGTACAGGGTGAAATGTGTAGCTGTAGTGTCAGCAGGTAGGTAACAAGTGTACAGGGTGAAATGTGTAGCTGTAGTGTGTGGGAGGTAGGTAACAAGTGTACCGGGTGAAATGTGTAGCTGTAGTGTGTGGAGGTAGGTAACGGGTGTACCAGGTGAAATGTTTAGCTGTAGTGTATGGGAGGTAGGTAACAACTGTACAGGGTGAAATGTGTAGCTGTAGTGTGTGGGAGGTAGGTAACAAGTGTACCGGGTTCAATGTGTAGCTGTAGTGTATGGGAGGTAGGTAACAACTGTACAGGGTGAAATGTGTAGCTGTAGTGTATGGGAGGTAGGTAACAGGTGTACCGGGTTCAATGTGTAGCTGTAGTGTATGGGAGGTAGGTAACAAGTGTACCGGGTGAAATGTAGTTGTAGTGTCAGCAGGTAGGTAACAAGTGAACAAGGATAAATGTGTAGTTGAAATCTGTGAAAGGTAGGTTACAAGTTTAAATGAACAGTTTACACACACACCTGATGTGTAGATCCCTTTAATGCAATGATATAAACAATTATGGACTACAAGAACATGAATTATTTAAACATCTAAATTAATGGACATTAAAGAAAGCAAAGAATACAGAATGTAAATAATAACATCAAGATTTTTTTTTGCTATTTTCTTAACTTTTGGCTGAATTCAAAATTATATCAGCAAAACAATTCTCGGCTTATAAAGTTTGTATCTAACTTATGTCTGATGGATGAATTTCAATCTTATTTATTGTGAGGTTGTTGGCTTTGTTCCTGAAAATGATGTTTTAAATGAAAATTTATTGACCATCATACCAACAAACAAACACCAGGGACATAATGCTAATTGAGTTGACCTTCTCCAACTATTATAAATGTTTACTACTTATAATCAAACTGTAGTCGCTGTTAAGTTTTATAATCGAACTGTAGTTAAGTTTTTCTAACTAATGATGTAAAAAAATTACCTGTCAGGTATAGCGTAAACTGTCAACACCCCTCCATCCTCTGTCAACACATGTGTACCATTATATCACCACTGACATGATATAGATAAACCATCACTCGCTACTCATATTATCCACTGACCTGATGTCTCATATTTCATTACTGTACATTTTATATGGACAATGAAAGGCTCATAAATGAATGTATTATGAATGACTGAAAGTGATACAGATTAACTGTCAGTGGTGTCATGTCACGCAAGCTGATTATTTGTTTTAAAAAAACAATAGCAAACTTGTCATTTATGGACTACACACATTCAGTTTGCAATTCAGCTTTTCTGATACCAGCATAAAATTTTTAAATGTTATCAAAGCATAAGTGACTTTGAAGAAAAATGGTGAATTAGCCAACTTTGTATGCTGTTTTCTACAACACATTATTATTTAAACATGCTGACAATATATCTGTGGTGCTTGCATGCTGTAAATTGTAATGACATGGTGTATTTTACAGTTTACTTAGATGTATAATTACTTGTAATATGTGTTGGCCATTTCAATATTTCTGTTGGAACAGATGCCGTCACTAAAGACTATATATGATGATGGCATGTATACATGTAAGGAGACACTGGACACTTACCTGGAACAAACAGGTAATATCAACCAACATATTTCTGGCAGAAGTCAAATTGACTTTATATCTACATACCTATATATTATTGCTATTTTTGGAGAAGTAATGAGTGAATTTTAGAGTCCATAAGAAAGTTCACCTAAATTCCATTTTGAAATTATATGCAAATGAATAGGAATCAGAGGCTACTTACTAAGTACTAGTTTCAATATTTGTTTAAGCATGATGCTGATATATATAGTGCACCTTCTTCACTATCATCAGATGATGGACTATTCAAATCAACCGACATCTGTGGTCAGACATCTGTGGTCAGACATCTGTCCTTAAACAATTATTTTATTGCTATTTCTGGAGAAGTACAAGATTTATCTTTCTCAAATTTCATATGTAGTTCCGTTGATCCCTGGTGTGCCTTTTCAATTTGGACCAGATCAGAAAAGCAAAATGACAGACAAGCATCCATCTTGGATTTGGACTAAGGAAGTTTGTTATTGCTATTTCTTGAGATTGACTAGATGGATCTTTATTTAATTCATAAAACTTTGGAATTTTAAGTCTTATTAAGGGTGCTCTTGCCTTCAATTTCCCGCGCCCTGCACCCTTATCAGGTCATATACGGTATATTGATATTTTGATATAATAGCTCACCTGGCCTGAGGCGGTCAAGTTTTTCTACAAATCCTTACTAGTCATGAACAACTATGCAGATTTTTAACAAATTTGGTCGGAAGCATCAATGAGGGAAGAGGCACAAATTTTGTATAAATGATGGGTCTCAGCCCTGGGGGCCTGAGAGGGTTCAAAAGGGGAAATATAGCAAATTCTTTAAAATCCTGCCTCTCCTGTGGGGATTTTTTTACTTTGTCAGAATTTGTTTTTAGGTATTGTTGGGAGAAGGGGAATCAATTTTGTATAAACAGTGGGTCTTGACCTCCTGGAGCTGGAGGGATGAGGCCAAATAGGGAAGATAGAGGAAATTATTTAACATCCCCTCCTCTCCTGTGGGAATGATTGGATTTCGCCCGTTTGGTCTGAAGCATTGTTCGGAGAAGGGAAATCCATGTTGTTTAAAGGATGGATCTCAGCCCCCTTGGTTGTGATTGGAGGACGGTCAGGGCCCAAAATTTGTGTCTTGGATATTTAGATTTCCTTTTCCTTTAGCTTTAATGAAGCAATTTGGCCAAAGCCAGGCGAGTGATATAGGCCTTATAGGCCTCTTGTTATATGACAACAATTACACTTTTTTCCATACCTGCAGGACGTAACCATCTGAAGCTTTGGGAGGACGTAAAAGATTCCATCAGACAGGTGTACCTACATAAAGAAAAACGTTTAATTTCCTCATCGGGTCATTTCATGAACAAAAGGTATGTATGTCTACATCAGTCAGGTAACCACACACAATGGGAGGTATAATCACTTCTTCCTTCACAATCTACTGGTACAGTAGGTAGTTATGTCCACATCAGATTATTGACCACATACAGTGAGAGTTCTAATCACTTCTTCCTTCACAATCTACTGGTACAGTAGGTAGTTATGTCCACATCAGATTGTTGACCACATACAGTGAGAGTTCTAATCACTTCTTCCTTCACAATCTATTGGTACAGTAGGTAGTTATGTCCACATCAGATTGTTGACCACATACAGTGAGAGTTCTAATCACTTCTTCCTTCACAATCTACTGGTACAGTAGGTAGTTATGTCCACATCAGATTGTTGACCACATACAGTGAGAGTTCTAATCACTTCTTCCTTCACAATTTACTGATACAGTAGGTAGTTATGTCCACATCAGATTGGTGACTACATACGAGGGAAATCTGATTTCCTCCTTCACTTTCTACCAGTACAGTTGGTAGTTACCTCTACATCAGTCAGGTGACCAAACACAAGGATAAGTCTGACCTCCCCAACCACTTTGTGGTGAGGCATCGACATCGATTCTGGGAACTTCCACATCCATTCTTTCATTGTCATCTCTGACTATCTTGACAGATTCCATCAGAGTCCAGTGTGATACATTAATCATTCTGTAAATGTTTGCATGAACACAGCTTGTACAAATGATATTGTTTTCTAATCAATAGTGTGTCGACTATGTGACCAAACTGGCTATCTAGGAATCATCCTAATAAAAAGTATTTTTTTAATATAAATGGCCCCACTCCCCCTCCACCCTCCAACCCCCTCAAAAAAAAAAAACCTGTTATACACAAGCGAGCTCGTGAATAAACATATTGTTCAATGCTGCTTACACTGATATCTTAAACTTTCCTTTTAGAAATTTTTTTGAGATGGTGCGGTTTGACTTCGTACTGGATGATCAGTTAAATGTCTATTTGATGGAGGTAAGTAAATTACACTCTTACATTATACAAAGATCCATTAGCTAATTAATGACACTCAAAAGTGACATAACATTTCATTGATAATCATTAAAACTCAGATGTAACATAACATTTAATTAGATAATCAGTGACACTCAAATGTAATGTTACATTTCATTGGATAATCAGTGACACTCAAATGTAATGTTACATTTCATTGGATAATCAGTGACACTCAAATGTAATGTTACATTTCATTGGATAATCAGTGACACTCAAATGTAATGTTACATTTCATTGGATAACCAGATATTGTTATTTTTCTTTTGTATCTATACAGCTCTAATACTAATGTCATCAGCTAGTTTTAATTTCTTATACTTCATTAATATAAGCACTAATTTTATAGTCTCATAATGTTTCAGGTCAACATGTCCCCCAACCTATCATCAGGCCATTTCTTGAGGAACAAGAGGATTTATGAGCATGTGGTGTACAATATGCTGTCTCTAGTGGGTGTGGTAAACATAGTATACAGGTTAAAGGTAAACACAGTATACAAGTCACAGGTAAACATAGTATACAAGTCACAGGTAAACATAGTATACAGGTCAAAGGTAAACATAGTATACAAGTCACAGGTAAACATAGTATACAGGTCACAGGTAAACATAGTATACAGGTCAAAGGTAAACATAGTATACAAGTCACAGGTAAACATAGTATACAGGTCAAAGGTAAACATAGTATACAGGTCAAAGGTAAACATAGTGTACAAGTCATAGATAAACATAGTATACAGGTCAAAGGTAAACATAGTATACAGGTCAAAGGTAAACATAGTATACAGGTCACAGGTAAACATAGTATACAGGTCACAGGTAAACATAGTATACAGGTTAAAGGTAAACATAGTATACAGGTCAAAGGTAAACATAGTATACAGGTTAAAGGTAAACATAGTATACAGGTTAAAGGTAAACATAGTATACAGGTCAAAGGTAAACATAGTATACAGGTCAAAGGTAAACATAGTATACAGGTCAAAGGTAAACATAGTATACAGGTCAAAGGTAAACATAGTATACAGGTCACAGGTAAACATAGTATACAGGTCAAAGGTAAACATAGTATACAGGTCACAGGTAAACATAGAATACAAGTCTCAGAAAAATACTTGTATATATAGTCACTGGTAAACACTCACACTACAAGTCACAGATAAATAGTCACATACATGTTACAGTTAAACACATGAAAATCACAATACATGTATACAAATCACTGGTAAACACTCAAAGTTGACAGATGATATTCGTTATTTTTGTATCTTGAGAAGAACTAGAAAATATTCTCAAACTTGAGGTGTATGTTCCCTCTGTTAACTAGTTGTACCCATTTAATTTTGTGTCTGCTAAAGAGAATAAAAAGGCTGACCCACAAACCATCTTGGATTTTGACAGTTGAAGTTTGTTATCATAATTTCTCTAAATATACTTGTTAGGTCTTTCTAAAAATTCATAATACATGTATGATTCCCTTGCTATCAAATGATTAAAATGAAAAGGGGAAAGAAGGGAAAAGTAGAGAAAAGATCAGTCTTGTATAGGAACAATACAGATTATTCAATGGTGGGCACCAAGATCTCTCAGGGATCTCTTGTATTTGTGTTTTAAGATTTTGTTAACACTGAGTTTTTTATCGTGCAGTGACTTAGATGAAAAGGATATGCGAGCATCAGACAAGGATGTGACAGTGTTCCCCATGTGGTGCTCAGACAGAAAATGTCAGACAGACTGTCATTCAGAGGTCAGTATAAACCATTGTTTTTTGACATGCTGATGATTGTTTTGTTTCAGAAGTGTTCCATCAGCTGTCAGTGCTTCATTAAGGAACTGAAAGACTTACTTAAGATTGTTGATAATTGTTTTGTTGCAGAAGTGTTCCATCTGCCATCAGTGCCTCAGTAGGGAACTGAAAGATTCCTTCAAACATGCATTCATGGAGCATATGGGCAGGGGCAGTTGCCGTAGGATCCTCCCACAGCCTGTGGTAAGATGTCCAATTGTGTGGCTCAGTCCCACTGTAGTTTGTCTGTGGTAAATCCCAATATAGTTGTGTAGCATTGTCGAACCATAATTTGTCTGTGGTATAATGTACATAGTAGCATGGTATCATAAATATTGAACTGTACATTTTTCACCCCAGAATTCCTTAGACAAAATCCTTCTGAAGGTCGTTATGGTTTGTTAAAAGCAAAGAATTAATGTGATTAATTTGCTGTTTCCCAGAAACAAGAAGAGGCACTTAAATGGAGTCCAGCCACAGCATCTCAGGAATACCATTCCCTCAACTCTCGCAACAAAATAATGTACAGCTGGTTTGTGGGCAAGTGTCGACTAGACCCAGGCTGGTGTTACTGAACAGAAATTTTGTTATTACTAATCCAGAAAACCAATTAGTGTCACAGTCAGGGTCATTGGTAAATACTGACCTCTAATGCAAATAAACAGTTGGGGTCCCTGGTGACATTGACCCTAAAAATGGGTAACTTTTTCCGTCCACATTTCCTTTAATTTGACCTACAGTTGTTGAACATTCCAGATTATTGTCCATTAAGTTTTATACAACATTACGTGGTCATTGTTTTTGGTTTGTAAGTGCCAGGTAGTCTGGGTATTCTGTATTTTTCTGCTGTAAATTGTATTAAAATTTCTACATTGATGTTAGATGAGTGTATTACAATCTGGGTGTCTCTATAAATGGATATGACTTTATTAAGTATCATCAGTGGAAAAAATAGACATAAGTTATGATATCTATATGTATATGCACAATAAGGCTGCTTACTCACTCAATCAATTGCCACAAGACCTGATGTATATAACTTGTGTCAAGGTATTTTGAGCTTGAAACTAGAGTACCAACACATATCAGGAAGGGTGCTAAATTGTATCAGACTCTAAACCAGGATGTCACATTGATATCTTATTTTAGTTTATTGAATAAAGACACAATAGTTTGCCTGTAAAATGTTTAAGAAAAAAAAAATCAAATTTGACCTTCACCTTTGACCTAGACACCTTGACCTGTAGTGGGCGATTCCTCATTTAATTTCAATAAATTATGCTTCTATCTTGAGGTAATAACAAATTTAATATTGACCTTTCACCTAATGACCTAAACCTGTTGTCGGTCCTTTGCTCATTATATATCAGTCAATAAACTCTATTATATATAAACAAAAAATGTATGTGTAGCTATCAGATATGATATATTTTGCAGTACATTCCTATTTCTATTTATTGTAATGATGACCTTGACCTTTGTCCTCTGAACATAGAAATCAAAGGAGAGCTAGCACATCCTGTGAAGAAGCAATGGTGAGAATCTGAATGTAATCATCCAATTGCGAAGCGCAATTTTCATATTTATAGGAACAATGACCTTGACCTTTTACCTCAGGGTCTGAAAAAAAGTATTTACAAGTTGATCTTTATGTGGGAGTCAGAGATATTAGTGAGGCTGTTGGTTACAGATTTATAATGATATTCTTTCCTGATCTGGAAACCCTCATTTTATATGAGGGGAGAGGGGAATATCATAAATAATGGAGGTTTAATTAAATTCATTCTATTGTTCTTTTTTAATACTAGTGTGGCTGAATTGCCAGCCTAATAGGTCCCATATTTTTTTCTCTAAAAGGAATGTCATATCTTATATTCATTTGTAATTTATGATCAATAGCAAAGGCATAATCAAAATTCTATATTCGATCTACGTAAACGTACATAATGCTGAATATCTTACATTGATGAAAACATTCATTAGATAATTTATCTATATTGATGAAAATTTAACATTGGTGATAACATTTATAAGATAAATTATGATATCGGTTATAACGTTCATTAGATAAATTACTACACCAGTGAAAATATTCATTAGATAATTTATTACACTGGTGAAAATATTCATTAGAGAATTTATTGTAAAGGCACCAAGCGTCATTATAGAATTTATTGTACAGGCGACAAATATCATTATAGAATTTATTGTATGGCACCAAGCGTCATTATAGAATTTATTGTATAGGCAACAAGCATCATTAGAGAATTTATTGTATAGGCACCAAGCATCATTAGAGAATTTATTGTACAGGCGACAAATATCATTATAGAATTTATTGTATGGCACCAAGCGTCATTATAGAATTTATTGTATAGGCAACAAGCATCAAGTATCATTAGAGAATTTATTGTACAGGTGACAAATATCATTATAGAATTTATTGTACAGGCAACAAATATCATTAGAGAATTCATTGTAAAGGCACCAAGCATCATTAGAGAATTGATTGTACAGGTGACAAATATCATTAGAGAATTCATTGTAAAGGCGACAAGCATCATTAGAGAATTTATTGTACAGTCGACAAGCGTCATTAGAGAATTGATTGTACAGGCGACAAATATTAGAGAATTCATTGTATAGGCAACAAGCATCATTAGAGAGTTTATTGTACAGGCGACAAGCGTCATTAGAGAGTTTATTGTACAGGCGACAAGCGTCATTAGAGAATTTATTATATAGGTGACAAATATCATTAGAGAATTCATTGTACATGCAACAAGCGTCATTAGAGAGTGCCAGAGTTTGAACTTTAGCCTGCTCTATGATGTTGAAAATGAAATTAGCTCTTTATGGAGTAAAATAGAGAACTGATGTGAGAAAAGATTCAGTTGTTTCAATCTAAAAGTAAATGTTGGTATTTATTTTACATAATATATTTATGGACCTGTTCTGAAGTATAAGACTTGGGTAATTGTTTTCATATAAATGATATATATTTTTTATTATGGAGTTATCACTCTAATGTGTCATCTTTAGCAGGTCAGCAGACAGATTTGTTACATATTCATTATACTGGCTAGCAGGATAAAGTATGTTACATGATAACATTGGTGCTGCAATTGGTATGCTTGCCATTATGATCCTTCCCTTTCCAATATCAGCCACAGAGTCAAAATTCTAATTGTCAATGTCCTAATGACTGTTTGTGTGGCGTCTATGTTCAGTTGTCGTCGTGTTTCATATTTTTACATGGTCTATCCAATAGATTTGGAGATTAAATTACACACTTGTGCATGATAACAATCCCACCATGTAGTTGTCATTCCCCATGTTGTTAACATTACACACTCATACATGATAACAATCCCACCATGAAGTTGTCATTCCCCATGTTGTAAACATTACACACTTGTACATGATAACAATCCCACCATGTAGTTGTCATTCCCCATGTTGTAAACATTACACACTTGTACATGATAACAATCCCACCATGTAGTTGTCATTCCCCATGTTGTAAACATTACACACTCATACATGATAACAATCCCACCATGAAGTTGTCATTCCCCATGTTGTTAACATTACACACTCATACATGATAACAATCCCACCATGTAGTTGTCATTCCCCATGTTGTAAACATTACACACTCATACATGATAACAATCCCACCATGAAGTTGTCATTCCCCATGTTGTAAACATTACACACTCATACATGATAACAATCCCACCATGTAGTTGTCATTCCCCATGTTGTAAACATTACACACTTGTACATGATAACAATCCCACCATGTAGTTGTCATTCCCCATGTTGTAAACATTACACACTCATACATGATAACAATCCCACCATGAAGTTGTCATTCCCCATGTTGTAAACATTACACACTTGTACATGATAACAATCCCACCATGAAGTTGTCATTCCCCATGTTGTAAACATTACACACTCATACATGATAACAATCCCACCATGAAGTTGTCATTCCCCATGTTGTAAACATTACACACTCATACATGATAACAATCCCACCATGTAGTTGTCATTCCCCATGTTGTAAACATTACACACTCATACATGATAACAATCCCACCATGTAGTTGTCATTCCCCATGTTGTAAACATTACACACTCGTACATGATAACAATCCCACCATGAAGTTGTCATTCCTTGTGTTTATAAGGCAAACTGTTGTCTTCCAGTGTAGAATAAATGTTATTTTTATAGACTAGTTCATGCAATAGATATGCAGGCTTTTCTCAGTTAGCATCCTAATTTAAATGTTTCTGATTACAATTCACCATAATCATTATCAGCTTGCTGATACCCGTTGTTGACATCGTTTGAAGTCACAAGTGTTGAGAAACTTGTTCATTTTTAAGTGATTGTACATGTCAGTGTTTGTTGATAGAATCATAAGAAGGAATTATTTTTACTCCCGTTTTATGACCTTGTTTTTAATTGTATTAGTTATAAATGTTTGACTGAAAGTCAGAATTTTTTAAAACTTTTAATTTTATTGCTCCTAATGATATTGGTCATTGCTGTAAAATCATATTTTTTTGTGAGGCCCAGTTTTCATCGGTTTTCAAGCCCAATAAGTCTACTTATTATTAACAGTTTGCGGACACATAACTTCATGGATTAAGAGTACCCATGAAATCAACGAAAATAAAATCACCACAAAAAAATATGATTGTACAGTACATGTTATGCATAATACCTGGTTACATAATAATAGTGGTTCAATGGTAACTATTTAGGCAGGGTAAATTGTAACTTCTAGGGAGAAAGATGTACTGTTATGTTTTAATTTTATCATTATTTCTATATTTAATCGGATTACAAGATTATATTGTTTATCACAATGCCAAATTTTGTGTATAATTAGAATATTGTTTGATGATTTGTTAAAGTGAGAGGGTGCTGCAGTGCCATTTATTACTGTAAAGATGAATTGCTTTCTAATTTTGTATTGAAATTACTTCCCTTGACAAGGTTTTTTGCTGTTAAGTTCTACATAACACCAGTCAGTTTAATGTTAGCAGTGGATGCTTACAACATGCTCTGTAATATGAATGACAAAATGTAATTTATTTGGAAGTGGAGACTAATAATAACATGACAACACCTATACAGGTGTATTTCTTTAAACCTTACCTTAAACTTGTAATCAAACTTAATTTAATTGACTCCAGGTAGAAATAGATCATGAAATTGTGAACAGTACAATTGTCCTAACTAGTGACCATCTCACTATATCAGCCGGGCCCTAGTTTTAAAAAGATGAGACTTAATCAGTGATTATTGGAAAATTCAAAATGTTCACAAAGACAATACTCAAGCATTAAAGACAAATTGAGACAAAGAAATATCAATCTGACCTGTAAACAAATGTGCAGCCATGAAATCATAAAGAATATTTCCAATTATGTTTAATTGATGTTTGAAAATGTTCACTAACCACTGGTTATTTCAAACTAGACTTTGAACGACCAATGGCTCTGTGCAAGTATTTACTCAGGACAAGCCTTTTTTCTTTGATCGTTTATAAATTGT